CGTTAAACTATCCTTACACCTCAGAATAAAACAAACTTGGTCAGTATATATAATCTTCTTAATATGTTGTTGAATATCATTTGCTAATATTTTATTAGGAAATTTTGTATCTAAGTTCATCAATGATTTTGATCTGTTGCTTTCTTTCCTTGATGTGTCCTTATCTAGTTTTAGTATCAGGGTGACACTGGTTTCATAGAATGAATTTAGTTTTTTTTTTTTTTTTTGTCGGGGGGATGCGAGTGGTACTGGGGATTGAACTCAGGGGCACTCAACCACTGAACCACATCCCAAGCTCTATTTTGTATTTTATTTAGAGACAGGATCTCACTGACTTGCTTAGCACCTTACTGTTGCTGAGGCTGACTTTGAACTCGTGATCCTCCTGCCTCAGCCTCATGAGCCACTGGGATTGTAGGCATATGCCACCATGCCTGGCTCTCATAGAATGAATTAGAAAGTTAAAGTTCTGCCCCTTTCTATTTCATGGAATAATTTGAGGAACATTGGCATTAGTTCTTTAAAGTTCTGGTAGAATTCAGCTAAGAATCCCTCTGATCCTTGGCTCTTCTTTGTTGGAAGGCTTTTTATTACTGCTTCTCTTTCATTGCTAGTTACTGATCTATTTAGGTTTTTCTATGTTCTCTTGATTCAATTTTGAGAGGTCATATGTGACTAGAAGTATATCCTTTTCTTATACGTTTTCCAACTATAAGTATTCAAAATATACCTAATGATCTGCTGGATTTCTGTGATGTCTGTGGTGATTTCTCCCTTTTCATCTCTAATTTCATTAATTTGGGTTTCTTTTCTTTCTTTGTTTTGGTTAGTTTGGCTAAGTGTTTATCAATCTTACCTTTTCAAAAATTCAACTCTTGGGCTGGGGTTGTGGCTCAGTGGTAGAGTGGCTGCCTAGGATGGATGAGGCCCTGGGTTCTATCCTTAGCACCACAAAAAAGCAAATCAACATCAAATAAATAAAGGTTAAATTCTTTTTTTCTTTTTCTTTTTTTTTTTAATAGAGAGAGGGGGGGAATTTTAATATTTTTATTTTTTAGTTTTCACCGGACACAACATCTTTTGTTTTTGTATGTGGTGCTGAGGATCGACCCAGGCCGCACACATGCCAGGCCAGTGCGCTACCGCTTGAGCCACATCCCCAGCCCCCAAGGTTAAATTCTTAGAAAAAAAAAAAAAAAAGATTCAACTTTTTGTTTCATTGATCATTTTTATTTTTTATTCTGTATTTCACTGATTTTTTTAAAAGTTATTTTTAGTTGTACATAGACACAATATCTTCATTTCGTTTATTTATTTTTATGTGGTGTGAGGATCAAACCCAGTACCTCACATGTGCAAGGCAAGTACTCTGCCACTGAGTCACAACCCCAGCTGTATTCCATCGATTGTAACCCTGCTCTTAAGTGTTTCCTTCCTTCTATTAGTTTTGGATTTTTTTTTTTTTTTTTTTTTTGGTACTGAATTTTTGAACTTTGAAGTTTGGGCACTTTACCACTGAGCTATATCCCCAACCTTTTTTATATTTTTATTTTTAGATAGGGTCTTATTGAGTTGATTAGGGCCTTGCTAGGTTGCTGAGACTGGTCTTGAACTYGAGATCCTCCTGCCTTAGTCTTCCAAGTCATTTAGGTTATAGACATGTGCCACTATACCTGGAATTGTTTTTGTTTTTCAAGGGCTTCAAGATGCATCAGTAGGTTGTTTATTTTGTATCTTTATGGTTTTTTATATAAGCCCTCATTTCTATAAATATTCCTCTTAGAACTGCTTTTATAGTGTCCCGGAGGTTCTGGTATATTGTATCACTATTCTGGTTTGAATCTAAGAATCTTTAAATTTCTCCCCTGATTTCTTCCCTCATCCATCATTCTAAAGTATATTGTAAAGCTGGGGTTATAGAGCTCAGTTGGTAGAGCATTTGCCTAGCGCATTCGAGGCACTAGCACATCCTCAGCAACACATAAAAATAAAATAAAGGTATTGTGCCTATCTACTATAAAAATATTTTAAAAAATATATTGTATAATCTCCACAAGTTTATATATTAGTCCTATATGGTTTTTGTTTTGTGATGTTGATGCAAGGAATATAATATATATATTATATTATATATGTGTGTGTGTGTGTGTGTGTGTGTGTGTGTGTATATATATATATATATATAAATAAAATACAGATTTTTTTCTTTTTTTTTTAATATTTATTTATTTATTTTTTAGTTTTCGGCAGACACAACATCTTTGTTTGTATGTGGTGCTGAGGATCGAACCCAGGCCGCACACATGCCAGGCGACTGTGCTACCGCTTGAGCCACATCCCCAGCCCCAGATTTTTTTTCTCTTGAGGCTTTTAAAATTATACCCTTGTTCTTCTCTTGAGGCTTTTAAAATTATACCCTTGTTCAGTAGGTTTGGCATTTTAATTATAATGTGACTTGGAGAGGTTTTTGTTTTTTGTTTTGATCTTGTCTATTTGGGGTTCTATATCCTGTATCTGAATGTCCACCTCATTCTCAAGGTTTGGAAATTTTTGTTATTATTTTCTGGAAGAGGTTATTCATGACTTTAGCTTGCCTCTCACAACCCTCTGATTCTAATGTTTCTTAAATTTTGTCTCTTAATGTCCCAAAGTTCTTGTATATTCTGGTTATAGTTAGTTTTTTTCTCTTCCATAGTGTTTGAATGTTGAAGACTGACCACTTTATTATCCTGTAACTCTGAGATTCTTCTTTTTTTTAGCATGGGCTATTTAGAGAAACTTTCAATTGAACATTCTATTTGATTTATTGTGTCTTTCATTTTCAATATTTATGCTTATTTCTTCTTCAACATCTCTATTTCCATATTGAATTTTTCATTCATATCCTGTATGGTTTCCTTAATTCATTAGAGTTTTCTGTGTTCTCTTGAATTCATTGATGATTTTCATAATCATTCTTTTGAATTCTTTATGTGGTATTTCATCCATTTCAATATCTTTGGAGTTGGTTGTTGGTGACTTATGAACTTTAAGAAGCATTGTATTGCCTTGTTTTTCATATTTTATATATTCCTGTATTGGGTTTATGCATCTGTTCGGATGCTTTCTCTTCCATTCTTATGTGGGAGCCTTTTTATGATACAGCCTTCTGTTACTAAAGTTATGGGATATCAAGTGTTGTTAATTTTTCAGTATATTTCCAAATGGGTTTAGGAGTATAATTTTCCTGACAGCTCTTTGGTGATGATTAGTGTGTTTGATACAGTGTATATTATGTTAGAGCTTGAGGATTCCACTTTCCCTGTAGGTCTCAAAAGAATGGGGTCCTTCTTATTAATCCAACAATTGTGTTTTATACAGAATAGTATGTGGAGCATACACTCTGTGATTGCTCTTCTTCATGTATATTCTAAAGAGGGAGGGGGGAGATTTAGATGAAGATCCATTGAAGGTGTGGTGTCCACAATCTTTGTGTTAATCTCTCTGCTTTTGCTGTAGGAGTGGCTATTCTTGAGTGGACCTAAGAACCCCTATCCTAGCCATTACTAACTAAGTACTAAACCTTATAAGATCTTATAAGTCTTTTTACCATTAAATATGAACAGGATATTAGCTACAAAATCAAATGGTCGGGGCTAGGATTGTGGCTCAGTGGTAGAACGCTCGCCTAGCACTGGTGGGACCCGGGTTCGATCCTCAGCACCACATAAAAATAAAGGCATTGTTTAAAAAAAAAAATCAAAGTGCCTCACACATGCTAGGCAAGCACTTTACTACTGAGTCATAACCCCAGCCCCCTCTAGGCAAGTCTTTATCACTGAACCACATTCCCAGTCCTGCCTGTGGATTGTTGGTAGATGCCTTTTTTTAAAGAGAGAGAGAGAGAGAGAGAGAGAGAGAGAGAGAGAGAATTTTAATATTTATTTTTCAGTTTTCAGCGGACACAACATCTTTGTTTGTATGTGGTGTTGAGGATCGAACCCGGGCCGCACGCATCCCAGGCGAGCAGGCCAACACCTGAGCCACATCCCCAGCCTAGTAGATGCCTTTTATTAGTTTGGAGAAAGTTACCTTTTCCTGTTTTTTGTTTTTATTTTAGTTTTGTAATGCAAATTGTCTTTTTTTTTAACTTTTTCTGTGTCTATTGAGATGATTGGGTGTTCTTTGTCCTCTGTTCTATTGATATAGGGTATACATTAATTGATTTATAGGTGTTAAATGAACCTTGCATTCTTGAGATAAATTCCACTTAGTGTGATGTTTCATCCTTTTTATGTGTTGATGCTTTCAATTCATTAGTATTTTGTTTAGGATTTTTTTTCTCTATATTCATCAGAGATAGTGGTCTGTAGTTTTCTTGTGATGGCCATCTACTCTACTTACTGTGTGGGAGGCTGTGTGCTAGATTGGGGTTTGCATACAGAGGTGTATGGTAGAGTAATAGGTGAATTGACAAAACAGCTTTCCCTCTATGGAATATTTGCAGTGGGGAATTCTGATCTTCTTTTCTAGAACCATGAAAACAGATATGGTTATACTTTCTGTGCATCACTTTATCCTTATCTTGATTAGCTCCTTCTCTGAAACACCTAATTATGCTATTACCTTAGTGTCTTTGTTCTTGCTATTCCACCTGCCTAGAATGTTCCTTTCTCAAGATTACCTAAATAATTTACTCCCCACTCCATTACATCCCTGCTTAAATGTCACTATCAATAAGATCTCCCCTGACCATTGTCTGTAAAATAGCAGTTCTCACCTTCAGTCTTTATCCTTTTCCTCATATATATTCTTCTTCATAGCATTATTATTTACATTTCAATTTATTCTTGTCTCCATCATCACCTTCTTCCTTTCTTCCTTCCAAATGTAAATGTCAGATGAGAAGAATCTTTAATTGATGTGTTCATTCTTCTATTCCCTGAACCTTGAATAGTTATTATCACATATTGCATGCTTGATCAATATTTTTTAAAATAATTAATATCTCTTTGATTGTTTGAATATTTTTCTTCCTCCCATGTTTTCCTGCAAAGGATTTACTGATGATTTTATTTACATTGACCATTTTTGGTTTACTATATTCTTAGAATAAGCAAAGTTCTTTCAAATAGTGTAATAGTTGAAAGAGACACTTACCATGCTATTACTTATTAAATTTTGTTTTTTACCTCTTAGTTTTCAGATAGGACCAATCCAGTTGATAAACATTTTGAAGTCTTGGTCAATAAGTATGGAATTTCTGCCCACCCAATTGTTCCTCAGCTGTTTGGTTCTGCTGGAAAAGAACACATGGAAAAATATGGTATGTTAAAAAACAAAACAACACTTTAAGGTGACAGGTACAGTGATGCATCCTTTAATCCCAGCTACTTRGGAGACATGGATGCAGGAGAATCATAWGTTTGAGGCCAGCCTGGGCAACTTAATGTTTAGCAGCAAAGCCCTAGGTTCAATCCTTAGCACCAAAAAAACCCAACAAAACCTTAAGACTCATTAATAGTTATATATTTATTAAGGAACTGTGGAKGATATCATGATATATAAGATACAAACTAGTTTTTGAACTAGGTTGGTGAAGTAGTCCCTGTACAGAAAGTATGGGAAGTACACCTAGAATACTACATAATAGGAAATTGAAATAGGAAAAAGCACAGTTTTTTGTCTCCTTTAATCATGGATGATGAATTGAGGATTACCAGTTCTGAATATGATAGTAAAACTTAAAACTTGTTCTTGATAATAGATTTATATAGCCAAATTGTATTCTTTTTAAAAATTTTTTAGTTGCAGTTGGACACAATATCTTTATTTTTTATTTTTATGTGGTGCTGAGGATTGAACCCAGGGCCCCGCACATGCTAGGCGAGTGCTCTACCGCTGAGCCACAACCCCAGCCCCCCAAATTATATTCTTATTATTTGAATCTATCAGGAGTCTGTCATGACCCCATATTCCATGGCATTTTATGAGGTTAAAATTTCTTAGTTGATTTGGATTTTGTAGCTAATATTCTGTTCTTTGACTGATGGTCAATGGTTACCAGATGGGTAAAGCATGGGTTAGAGAAAATAGGGTGATTTTTTTTCTATTGTATGACTGAACCACTGCTTTATTGAATATTATGAGATAAGAAAGAAGATGACCATGTTTGAYAGGTCAGCACTCCTATTCTTTGCAGGAAAAATATCCTAGGCTCAATAGGCAGCATCAAATAGTCAGAAAGGAAACAAGTCTTTCAGCAAGAATGGAAGTAAGTGGCACTTCCATTTACTAAAATTTTCAAAGCAGAAACATGAATCAACTTTGATAATTTTTCCTCCCTTTCTTCCACTCCAGTTTCTTACTATGTCCTAGAAATTCTACCTCTGAACCATCAAACTATCTTCTTTCATTCAGTTCTTTCATTACCATAGCTCTTTTCTTAGGTCGGACTTTTTTTTTTTTGGGGGGGGGGTAGGGGTGCTGTCCCACTGAACTATATCCCCAGTCCAATTTATTTATTTAGAGATAGGGTCTTACCAAGTTCCCAAGCTGGCCTCGAAGTTGCAGTCTTCCAGCCTCAGCTTCCCAAGTCACTGGGAATTATAGGCAGGTCCCTCTGCCCCTGGGTAGGTTAGAATTTTTCAAACATTGATTGTAACTCACTAGGAAATTATGGAATCGAATCAAGTTTAGTGGGTCAAGCCAACCATTTCTTTTAATCTGAACTTTGTATTGTTGTCTATTATAACTCAAAACAGAGAAGTAAACAAAACACTGTACACAGCAAGCAAGAATGTGAATTCTCATAAAGGTGATAGCTTGTGACCTACATCACCACCTAGGTTAAAAAAAAATAATGTTGTCAGCATCCAAAATTCCTCTGTGTACATTATTTTTGTCTTATGAACTTTGTGGGTTTCTTGATTATCTTGAATCATTGCTTTAGCCACCCCCACAAATCTTATTGTAATATGTTCTTTTCTACCATGAGACTCTTCTGAAATGGTTGAGGGTCAAAAATCTTAAGCTTCCTAGTGGCCCTTTATTTGAGAKAATTTGTAAAATAGAGCTGTCTGAACTATGTACTGAGTATTCCATTTGATCTTTCTGAGATCTTTTTTTTTAATATTTAATTTTTAGGTGTAGATGGACACAGCAAAATGCCCTTATTTTTATGTAGTGCCAAGGATCAAACTCGGGTCCTGCCCATGCTAGACGAGTGCTCTACCATTGAGCCACAATCCCAGCCCCCTTTCTGAGATCTTAACTGAAGATTTGACATAGCCTGGGCTTCATCTCAGACAGTGTTTTACTGGCAGTGTCATGAATTTGATCTTTGCTGAAAATTTATTTCTTAATTTTAGCATCTTTTACCACTAAAGAATCTGAGAATTTTCAAAACTATCACGTTTTAGATTCTTTTTGTTTAACAATTGTTTCCTCAATATAAAGATACAGAATTTTACTATAAGCTGCAATAAGAAATCAGGTAGCAACTTCAACATTTTGTATGTTTTCTAATTTTGCACATAATTTCAGGCAATAGTATTATAAAAATCCCTGTGTTGTTATAAGAAGAATCTCCCTTCATCTAGTTCCCAGTCAGATTTTCTTTATCTTCTTATAAGCCCTCACCTGYAGCATCTTCAAAGGACTTCAAAGATACCACTAATATTCTCTTCTAGGCACTTCAGGCTTTCACTAGCAGTTTCCTCAAAGTCTACTTTCTGGTTCCAAAGCCATTCAGATATTTTACATTTTTGTTCAGTGAGACTGAACAATCAAGGATTGATTGTTCCTTGATCAAGGAACTGGCAGATTCATTGTCTGGTGAAGGCCCACTTTCTGATTCATGGAAGGCATCTTCTCATTATGTCCTCATACAAGAAAAGGGAAAGAGAGCTCTGGGACCTCTTTTATGAGGCCACTAATCCCATTCATGAGGGCTCTGTCCTCATGATTTGATTACCTCTCAAAGGTCCTACTTTCTATTACTATCACCTTGGGGATTAGGTTTCAACATATGAAGTTTGTGGAGATATAAACATTCAGTCCATTGTACCCCTCAAAGGCCCATCTCCTAATAACAATTAGGAACAGAGTTTGACATAAGAATTCAGGGGAATGAAGTGCAGTGGCACATGCTTSTAATCCAAGTTTCTCAGAAGGCTGAGGCTGAAGGGTTGTAAGTTCAAAGCCAGCCTTAGCAATTTAGCAAGGCCCTAAGCAACTTATGGAGCCCCTGTCTCAAAATAAAAATAAAAAATAAAAAGGCTAGGGATGTGGCTCAGTGATTAAGTCCCTTTGGTTCAATTCCCAGTACCAAAAACTAAAACAAAACAAAACAAAACAAAACAAAACAAAACAACAACAATAACAACAACAACAACAAAAAAAAAAAAAAAAGAAAGAAAATAGGGGCTAGGAATGAAACTCAATGGTAGAGCTTCACATGAGGTTCTTCTAGCATGCATGTGACCTGGTCCCCAGCACGACAAAAACAAACAAACAAACAAAAACAAGAAAGGAAATAAATGAACTAATTTAGAGAGAACTGTTGTATTTATGATGTTGTTATCCTAGAAAATTAAAGTTTTCCTTATATATAAATGTTTTATTTCATTTTATTTATTTTTAAATAACTTCCTTAATTGTTTTAGTTGTCTTTGAGGCAAATGGATGTTTCTTTGTTGTTATGTCCTCTAAATTAGTTATTAGCTGTATGTATGCATATTTATGTATATAGATTTCTATTAATTAAAAAAATATTTTTAGTTGTAGATGGATACAGTACCTTTATTTTGTTAATTTATTTGTGGTGCTAAGGATGGAACCCAGTGCCTTACATGTACTAGGCAAGCCCTCTGGTGCTAAGGATGGAACCCAAGCCCTTACAAGTACTCAGCCACAACCCCAGCCCTCTGTGTATTAATTTTATGACTTGCTATATTATTAAATTTTCTAATTTTGGGGTTAGTTTTGTTATTGATTTTATTTAAAGGTGTTTTTCAGATAAGCAACTATATTATATCACCTGCAAAAAGAGTGAGTTTTACTGCATCTTTACCAAGTGTAATGTTTCTAATTGATTTCTTTTTTATAATTGCTTTAGCCAATACCATAAGTACATGTTAAATAGTAATGAAGATAATAGACATCCTTGTCCTATTCCTGATTTCATTGTTTTCCCTTTAAGTAAGATCCTGGCTTCAAGACAATGATATATACAGTTTGAGCCATCTCTAATCCAAAAATCCAAAATCTGAAATACTCTGAAATCTGAAATGCAGAGTTAGATTCTGTTGCTGTTATTTTATGTAGTAATTTCAATTTTCAATTTAATATTTATAACTGATGTTGATTTATAATTTTTTGTTAGGTTTTTATCAAGTTTTATACTTCATAAAAAGAAATATGAAGTTTCTTTTTTTCTTTTTTTTTTTACTCTTAATGCTATAAAATAGTTTATGGAGCATTGAGACCATGTGATCTTTGTAAGTTTGGTAGAATTTCCTGTGAAACTATGTGGGCCTGTTTTTTGTTTTTGTTTTTTCCCCCTGGAGGGTAGTTGCTTGGTAATTTCCTCTATTTCTTTTATGTTTAAATATTCTGTAACCATTGTTGGCAGTCCAGAAATTACCCAATTTAGATTTTCAAATTATATGGAAGTCTGAAAAGTAATCTTTTATAGTTAAAAATTTTATTTCTATTTCAAGTAGGAAAAGTTTCTCAGCCTGTTCTTATTTTTACTGCTAGAAACTGTAGAGCGACAGTAGGCTGCCACCAGCTCACCTCTTTGCTCTCTGCAGGTTTTCTTCTGGCTGCTTTTGTTCCCTCAAAGAATGATCAGTTGTTGGCTGGGATTTGGTCTTTTCCCTTTTCTTTTTTTCTAACTTACAGATAATTTAAAGTTTTGGCAYCTTCTGTTTTCTGGTTATGCTGATTGAATGGTTTTGTGCTATCATATTTTTTCTTGTGAGTCTATATTGTTTTGGATATACACACATACACACACGCATATTTGTGTTTATATATGTTTTCTTTGTTCAGCTTTGTTTGGAAGGATTGCCCAAGGACATGGAAGCTACTGAAATATATGAATATATATTTCAATAACTTAGACTTAAAAAGAGGGAACACTTCCAAAGAAACTATAGAATTCAATAACACAATCAATAACTTAGACTTAAAAAGAGGTAGCACTTCCAAAGAAACTATAGAATTCAATAACACAATCAGTAACTTAGACTTAACTGACATAGAATATTTCACCCTTCAATGAGYGAATACTATTTCTTCTCAGCAGCACGTGGATCCTTC